ATACACCTGAAAGGGTGTGCACACGATGGACAAACAGAGTTGTAAAGCTGAGCGATCCATGATACAAAAGTAAAAATAAAGAAAGAAGGAGGGAAAATTTACTAAATTTTTACAGAGTTTTGGGTTGCTAGGCAATCCAGCGAAAGCGTCAGCGAATTCACAGAAATGGCAGCATTATAGTGGGGTACAGAAGATGACTTCCACGTTAGAATATGTCTTTCTTACCCCTTTCAAGCCAAACGACTCGCCAACAGGCTGACTGCGCGGCACATCCCTTGTGGACGACGCACTTTTTGCCACATGGGATAATGTGTTCGACATGGGGATGCAGCATAGAATAATCTCTTTCCGCAGGATTCAAATTTTTCGCGAAATATCAATCAGGAAGACTTGTTCTACCTATTACAATCATGGTCCATGCGTTCCTTCTCAGTGTGGTTTTAGTCAACGGCAATTTGAGAGCGATTCTCTAAAGTAACGCTTGCCATTTTAATGGATCAGCTCTTTTTGCTTGCAGCTAAAGGAATCCTTCGCGGAAAATTCTTGCATTCTTTCTTGACATGAATGTGTCAGTTGTGATCACTGGAAACAGCACACAAAGTTTCACGCATGAAGATTCGGTTTCCGAAGAGAAACAAACGTACAAAAACTACACTCTATGGACAATCGAAGGTAATTCGGGCGGAGCCAAAGGCGAGGCATGGAAAGAAGTTGGCCTTTGGCCGGCTACGTATCAGGCGACGCAATGAAAGAATCGGGTTAAAGCGCGCGATTTCGGAGAGTAGAGACAAATCGATCGATAGAATAGGATGGAGTAGAAGTGTAAGATGTGAATGCAATAAAGCAGAAGGCCAGAAAGAGTTTCTAGTGAAGGCACTCCAAGAACCAAGTGGAAGCATCCCCGTCGCCAGCATTTGTGAAAGACGTCCGTGGGCACTTTGAACGCGTAGCAGCCCTTTCGATTTTTCGAATTTTTACCAAAACAAAAGCAATATTTCTGTTCTTTTCATTCTTATCGTGGATAATGAGTCTCAAGCCAGTGATTTATGGCTGAAATAGAATCATGATTTTTCCGTGAAGGATTCCTTTAATCAGAGCGATAATAACGCTTCACAAAAGATCACACTCCAACCCTATTCAGAGATTTTGGTCAGAATTGAAAATTTCTTAGCTCGCTCCGGAATCCTCCTTGGGCAGAGCAAAAAAAGATACGCTTAGTACTTTGAAAGCACTAAGACTTGGAATGTGGAAAGTATGAACGGCTGCTGCAAAGCTTCAACACTTTTATTGTGAGTGGGTCCCAGCATTGTGGCGCATGCTTCAAAAATTTGAAAATGTTGCAAGAGAAGCGGTCCCACGCGACAGACATGGGAAAATTGCGTTGTCGTAACGATAATTTCTTGTGTTCTTCTCAACATGATGACGCTAGTTTTGACTACCAGAGAAAACGTACAAAATTTGTAGGAGAAGGTTCAGATCCCGAAGAGAAACAAAACCACGAAACCACACTCAGGGGACGGTCACGGGTAGGTCGGGCGGAGACAAGGGAACGCATGGAAAGAAGTGCGCCTTGGAGCGGCCACCTATCAGACGACTCATTGTAAGAATCGGGTGGAGCGTTGGAGATTAGAAACGAAACGACTGGAAGAGTAGGATGCAATAGAAAAAGAAATGTTTTTGTCATACATAGGTGTGAAAGGGCAGAAAAACTTTCTAGTGAAGGAAGCAAAACCAATTGGAAGCGTTCAAGCCGCCAACACTTGTCACAGATGTACGGCATGAATTTAAACGTGCAATAGTCTCACCGGTTTTTTGTAGAATAGTGATCATCCCGTAAAAAAATCCTTCAACACGTTGACGACAACGCGAGTTTTGGCTTTTTTGGCCACGTGGGACCGCGGCGATTTTGCGGGCGCGGCCGCCTCAGGTCGTTCAAGCAGATTTTGAGTGATAAATACATAAATAATGATCAATACAAAACCAGATCAGTAAATTGTAATGAGCACAACCTACCCAGGGGTACAGTAGTGGAATTTCGATCGAAAGACATGGAATAACAATGAAAAAGCGAAATTTTCAGAACTAGCTGCAATGGACCTCAAAAGCAATTTTACGTTGATTATTTCAATCAAAACACACATATTGTCATCCCTAAGGTTCCGTATCTACTTCTACTACTATTTTCACATTCATAAAAAGAAAAAGTAAACGAAAAATTTATTGAAATGAAGATTTCGTATGGTTCAGAAATCTCTCTCTAAATTGAAGCATACGTGACCATTCTATGGGCCACTATGTTTGTAGCTACGTCAAGGTCTCTTCCATGGAATGAATACAAGAAACTTCTAAAAGAATCAGGCGTGCGCGAAAAAAATGAGTGTAATGGGTGCGGGGGATATATATCCCGCACGGTCCGACATGGCCTGCAATGCGCGGGATATATATCCCCCGCGTTGTCGTCAATGTGTTAAGGACCGAGAGTAACTAGATTTATGTGGAGTCATAATCGTTGACGGCAAGAGTGGAAAATTAGAAGAAAACAAGAAAACAAAAAGGGAATTCCCGTCCTGTAATCTAATTAACGGGGAGCGAAAATGGAATAAATGTCGAAAGGAGAGTTGTTACCGACCACCATGATGTCATTTTCACTCGAAATTGAAATCATGTTTGTCAACATGGGTTCGATCAATTTCTAACGTCATTTTCAATTGAAGTTGAAATCATGTCCTCAACTTGGAGTGAATCAATTTTCACCCCATCACAGGAGTGCACTTTTCCAGCGTATTCTTAGAACTCTATGTTTTTGATGACTTCGCGAACTTTCAAATAGAAAATTTCGTCTGAATAAATCCGTAACTTCGACAGCGGGAGTACTCGGAAATGCTGTGCAAATGTAGAATCTGGGAATATTCACGAGATAGGGTACTATTATTATTATTTCCATTCGATTCCCGTGAATGCGAATGGAGCTTCGATAGCGGGGAACGGCAGGGCGAGGTGGAGAGTGACGCGAGTGAATCGCTCACCCCGTCGGTGGCCTACCTCGATCGGACCCACGTAATCCTTTGTTGAAAAGCAAACAACACGTTTTCCTTGCCGCTTTGTGTGTGTGAGTGTGTGATCCTAAGTGGAATATGGTCAAACATAGGCACACATGAATCATCTCGATTCATAGATCGTAAACCTACACACGAACACACGCGACCAAATCGTCTACATGCATATAGGAGGATCATTTGTCAGGTAACATAAATAAGTCAAAGGGTATCTCTTAGCTCTGTCAAAGAACTGGTGAGAAATCGGTTTATTCGCCGACATCAAAACTTTGTTATGGCGTTTGTCCTGACTACACTGGAATTCTGAGAAATCCCTTTGAGTCCAGGCTGAGAAGTCGGCCTACGGCATTCGGTTCAAAGAACGCCGTGAGTCAACAAGCTCTGGAAAGAGCGGCAGGAGGGAAGGGGGAGGAGAGCGAAAAGGCGGACGGCGGCGCGGACGCAAGCGTGTGCCGATGACGTCACAGTTGAGAATAAATTGGGGGAATATGGAAATGCTGAATGAGCGCAAGAGAGGCAGTGCCGCTGCTTTTTGCTCGAATGGGTGAAGGGTACAAGGTACCATTCTCGCGCTCGAAAATATGGAATTCTTTAGAATAAGGAGGAAATCAACGCTTTCATGTATACCCTTGGAGGTGCGCAATTAAATCGAAGGATTTACACCATTTTTCATTCCGTCGCTGTCTACTTCACCGGGCGTGACCTAGGCACGACTAGTATATAACACATGATTTATAAAAGTATTTTTGTCAAATCTTGCTCGTTACTCGTTCCCTCGCCGCGCTTTGACGTCAAGGTGACGTCTTCCGCACGGGGTCGCCGCGCCGGTGAGCTATTCCATGGAGCGAGGGAGGGGCGTGTTTGGGTGAAGGCGAGTAAAAAGTGGGTGGAAGCGTCGGTCGACAGTCGGTACAGCGCATTCCGGAAGGGGATGAACATAGAAAGAGACTGGAAAATTTTGCAGTAATTCAAGGATTATTCAGAATTTTAACGAATTGTGTATAAAATTCACGCGAATTTTTGAATTTTTGATTTCCTTTGCACTATATATTTTCCCACTCCAGCGCAATGCATTCGCATTGAAAAGTAGTTAGGCTCGGAGTAAGAAGATCAAAAACTATTGAGGCCCAACTGGGATGAAAGAGGATATTTTCTGAGTAAATGTTCTCAACGACACGGCGTGCAGTAATGCCAATATGTAGCTGAAAGACAAAAGAGCTATTCTCTTCGGGGTGGGGAGTCTTTACTAGGGCATGTTCACGGTGCTCACCTCCCAGAGAAGCTGAGAATCGAGGTGATGAAATGGTGTTCAAGTCAGCAGTACCACACATCCTTCCTTGTTGACTCTAATATGATCTCTGGTGCCTGAGAAAATCCCCGACGAATGCATGGGAGTTGTTGTCCCGCAGAAAAGTCTCCAAAATATGCAGATGCAAAGCAACATTGTAATTTGATTCAATGGAGGGGTTTCACAAAAAGCGTCCAAAATTAGCCCAACTTGCTATTGGGAAAATGTTATTCATTTACGTTGTATGATATTTCTGTTACAACAAAATGCAGAGATTTAGAATGGCCAAGCTAGTAAAGACCAGGACGGAAAAAGCGAGTTTATCCTCCGTGAAAGACGTCACCCTTGAAGTGCACAGATGGCTTTTTTTCAGGAAAAACTTTCCGGAATACCGCAAATCGGAAACCGAAATCCTCACCGAGGCAGTTATAATGCTCATATTCCGTAAACATTGTAAGGGAGGAACAGATAACACCGGAAATATTAGGTAGAAACAACATGGAATAGTACAAAGCGATAGTTGATGCAGTTCACGAAATACCTCAAGTGATTCTCGATATCGATTGAAATCCAAAAAAATGAAAAGTGCTGACCGGAGCGATGCGCGGGGTGAATAAACCGAGTGTTTCGCTTCACTAAAGACCACCTGTGATTAAATGTTCTCCACAGAAGTACTGACAGATCAAAGTGAGTTAAAGCCGTTATTGGATTTTAACGTGTTCCTTTCCAAAATTGAAGCCCGCGACGTTACACGTGTACAACAGGGGAGTTATTCTATTTGGTCCAGCGAGAGGCGACAAATCAACGATAACGACCGAGGTGTCATGGAAAAACTCTAACGCAGAGGGCTTTTCGTATTGATCCCGAGTTACACTTCGAACAAGTGCAAATGTTGAACTGACAGAAGTTGAAGGGCTAACCTGCCTAAGTAAATTGAGGTGTAAAAGTCTGAAACTGAACTCGTTATCTGCCCGAAAAACCGGGCCTATCACAGAAATGCGTGTAGTTTGTGCCGGCGGCTTTTATCAGCTCGTGACTGAACCCTCCCCGGTGTTCAGCCCATGCACCCTTCTACCCGTGGTATTCAATCGAATGATGCACGAGAAATGCGGGTGAAGGTGGAGTTGGGGGGGAGAGCTCTCCATTGTGCTCTGTTCTCTAGACTGGTGCCAGAGTCCCTGATCCGTCGCGTAATTCGCGCGAATCGCAAAATCGCAAGTGCCCTTTTAACATTTGAAACACTGAATATGAAACAAGTAGAATCATGAACAGTCGTCATTCAACCATCACCATCAAGCAGAAATGGCGGCGGGATTGGAGAGCACCGCAGTATTGATCGGGCACTTGTGATTTCTGTGATCCTCGCGCGACGGATTGCGGACTCTGACACCAGCCTGATGCTAATGATCGGCTTAAGAGCGATATGTTCATGAATAACTTTTGATAAGGATCGGCTGCCCAGCCATAAACGGTGTAGAGAAGCGGTCCCGAGTCAAGGGCCGCATATTTTTGTTGAGACCCGTGGGGTGGCGGGAGAGGAGGGTGGAGAAGAACTTCACATTGAGTGGCCCTTACAGTGGAGTGCGAAATTGAGTAAGATGTCTGGGACACTTTGTGAGTCTTTATCATAAATCCTTACTCCAAATTTGGTGTTATTGGAGCTCCCATCCTTAGCGCTAGAGATAGAGAAGGGTCCAGTTGTGTCCCCCTCCCGTCCACTCTTTACACCCCTTCAACTATCAGCTTTTCCTCAGCATGTGTACTCAGGTAATAAATCCCACTCCAAAGGGGAAAATGACATTAATGGAGCAATCAGAAGCAAATACCTAAAGGCTATAAAAACTCGGTAATTTTGTATACATTTTGAGAAAATATAAAGTTCGCGAAGGTTAACAGAGATATAAGATAGTTTTTCAAAAGATACTTTTCCCAATATTTCGTCACAGTTCTCTGAGTAGACCCAATACTCTCTAATCCCTTAGTCATTCTGAGACTCTTAAGTAGGAGGAGGGCGGCCGGTTTTGATGATAACTCACCTGTTTGTAAGCTACAATAACGTCAAACTGGTTTAATCGTTATCGCCGTAGAGATCTCGTAGATTGACGAACTCCCTCTATTAACAGCACAGTGAGTCACTTGCATTTGAAAAAAAAAACTGGGTCATGGTCCCACGACGACAGCGGGGCTTGCACTATTGCTTTATTAGATCTTTGACACATGTGAAAGGCAAATTGGGCAACTACTGCTGGGTCACTCACTGCCTGGCATGTGACGTCCAATAGATAAGAAAGCAGGCTGAGATAAAAATAGCAAGTTGGCAGATGAGCGTTTGGGGTTTTTGAGTGAATCTCAAGAGAAAATAAACCCTCCCTTTCAAAAAACGAGAAGAGCGTCGAGGTGCAGACCATACACCACAAGTGACGACGGCCTCCAAGTAAATCTGGTTAGTAGTGATTCATAGTGATAGCTGATTTTGGTAAATGATAGTAATTAGTGACAACTGATAGAATACAACTGCAACAGGCTAATCATTTCATTGGCAGAAAACATTTACATTTTGTGAGGCCGTCGTCACTTGTGGTGCATGGTCTGCACCCGACGCTCTTCTCGTTTTTTAAAAGGGAATTTATGTTAGGTTTAAGAGGAAAAGGCGCAGTGGTAGGGTGAGTGCGGGTTCGGCAGGTGGTTCGAACTCGGCGATCCGTACCATTGTTCGATGTGGTATCATGACATTGAAAATGCATTGACCAATGCCAGCATTAATGACTGCATCACCAAGCGGTTCCTTTCATTACTTTATTGGCCTATGTAGTAAATTATTCATCGAAAGGCTATCAGCTTCAGGTTCAACGACTAGCAACAGAAAGAAAGGCACAGTAAAGATAGGTAGGACCAGACCCGTTTGAAGACAACCAACTAACTCCATGGAAGGACAGCCAAAGATGGATCCAACTTTATGTTTACTTGTTGTAAGTGAAATAAATAGGTGGCATAATTAAAGGAATCTTCCACGGACCATGGACCAGTGGGCGGGACCGGAAGTTTTTGTGACGAAATGCATGGTAGGTACGGATCCACGTGTCGAACGCACGAACGTGAACAGGATTCACTTCAAACCTTCCCATGAACGTGGATCCGTACCTACCATGCATTTCGTCGCAAAACCACTTCCGGTCCCGCCCACTGGTCCATGGTCCGTGGAAGATTCCTTTAAGCATGATGCAATTGATAGCGCTCTTCTGGAATATAAACCAGCAGGCGCGCCATGATAGTCATGCACAGGGTCATCTACATATACCATTGTGGCCTAAACAAGATCAAATGCCCGATGAGGAGTCTGTGAGAGAGGAAGACGTCTTATTAGGGAGCTAACACATTTTCTACCGCGTGCACCACCATGTGGCGCACGATTCATACAGAGGAGCATGGTTTTACCTGATTTATTTGACATTTTTCAATGCTCCTGAACTGTTTGCACTCATTTTCAGAGCCAGGAAACCATAAGTATGTCATCACTGATAAAATTGTTGATAGATTAATGATGATTCATTTTTAAAAAACATAAAAAAAGGTATGGAGAAACTCGTACAATGGGTGGTCCGCAATGTGTTAGTATTGGAAAGGTATTCGAATGGAATGATCTCATGGTTTGATCAGATGAGTGTTTGACTGAAGCCGTCTAAGATCAGTTAACACGTTGACGACCGCGCTATTTTTCGCTGTCTGGCGTGTGGGACCGCGCGCATTATTTTGACCGCGCGAGTGTGACATGGCATCATGTCAAACGGTCCCACGAGAACTCCTTTTTCTCAGGAAGTGTGTATTTGTTATCTTTCTTGTGTGGTAGGTCTCCGATTATGCGATTTTGGCCATTTTAGCGATTCCTGTGATTTGATCATTATTCAAACATTTTTAGAAAAACTCGATAGCCCATCAACCGAAGCTTCTTTCCAGGGACCACGCCTTTTGTAACAATGCCTAAGTATGGCGCATACATCACGTAAATAAGTTACCTAAAATGTTTGAAAACCAGCTTAAAAAAGACTGTGACATGACATCATGTCACACGGTCCCACGAGAACTCCTTTTTCTCAGGAAGTGTGTATTTGTTATCTTTCTTGTGTGGTAGGTCTCCGATTATGCGATTTTGGCCATTTTAGCGATTCCTGTGATTTGATCATTATTCAAACATTTTTAGAAAAACTCGATAGCCCATCAACCGAAGCTTCTTTCCAGGGACCACGCCTTTTGTAACAATGCCTAAGTATGGCGCATACATCACGTAAATAAGTTACCTAAAATGTTTGAAAACCAGCTTAAAAAAGACTGTGACATGACATCATGTCACACGGTCCCACGTGGCCGAAAGAGTGTGGTATGACATCATACCACACGGTCGTCAACGTGTTAAAGCAATTCCAGAGGTGAATATTACAAGAATTTCCATGATATGGAAATATCGGCAAGAAGTGCCAGCTTATTGAAAATTGTAAATACAAAATGTTAGTGCATTTGAATGCACTTCAGATGCACTTATT